GTATCACAGGAATAACTAACTAAATCTGTGTCACAGGAATACCTAACTAAATCTGTATCACAGGAATAACTAACTAAATCTGTATCACAGGAATACCTAACTAAATCTGTATCACAGGAATACCTCACTAAATCTGTGTCACGGGAATATCTCACTAAATCTGTATCACAAGAATACCTCACTAAATCTGTGTCACGGGAATATCTCACTAAATCTGTATCACAGGAATACCTCACTAAATCTGTGTCACGGGAATATCTCACTAAATCTGTGTCATGGGAATACCTCACTAAATCTGTGTCACAGGAATACCTCACTAAATCTGTATCACAGGAATACCTCACTAAATCTGTGTCACAGGAATACCTCACTAAATCTGTGTCACAGGAATACCTCACTAAATCTGTGTCATGGGAATACCTCACTAAATCTGTGTCATGGGAATACCTCACTTAATCTGTGTCACAGGAATACCTCACTAAATCTGTATCACAGGAATGCCTCACTAAATCTGTGTCACAGGAATACCTCACTAAATCTGTGTCACAGGAATACCTCGCTAAATCTGTGTTGTGGAAATACCTCACTAAATCTGTGTCATGGAAATACCTCACTAAATCTTTGTCATGGAAATGCCTCACTAAATCTGTGTCATAAAAATTCCTTACAGCAATGTCTGAATTGTTTTACTTTATTCCCACATTTACAGGTCAAGTACAGTATCTACATGGAGTACATCAAAGCAGTGGGACTTTGGACATTTCTACTGATGTCTTTAGTCTTTCTGCTGTTTCAAGCTGCCAGTACAGGATCAGCTGTATGGCTGAGCTCTTGGACTGACGACAAGCTGCTGGCGAACTCATCCTTGGCTGGCACTTCAGAGTTTGTCAACAGAAACAACATGTACCTCGCAGTGTATGGAGTGTTGGGATTCACACAGTGTAAGGTCACTGTACTGTTTTTTTTTGTCTGGTTCTGAGAGTTTTGTTTCTTTCTTTACATAGATCATTTTTTAAAATTAATTCTTCTTGTTTGTGCCATGGTCAGAGTTTTTCGTGTACATCCATTTTACTGGGTTATTTGTGTGCAGCTGGTTGTCCCTTGCCGCTCGAGCAGATGCTCTCTGACTTTAAAGTGAGCTTCCCAATTCGTCGACCCTTTTGACTTGCTTTTTGCGTCTATATTTTTACCCCCACAATGGGACCTCAGCACCCACACAGGGAGGTATTATTGTTGTTTTCTTCATAGTGTTAAAGAGAAAATAAATTAGGCTTTTCATATCAATTAAGAATTAGGTATATGATGCTAGATTTAAATGAGTCACCAATGAAGAGTTAAAAACAACGGTAGCCACTGTACCGGTAAATAATTTCATAGATCTTTAAAAAACACAAATGGTTTGGTCATCTGGTCTGAATGGAACAAAATCAGCTGGCAGCGAGAACATACTACATGAAAACAGTAGGCAACAAGGCAAGAGGCGGATCAGAGACAGGTTAAGGAAGTAAAAGAGATACTACAGTAATGCAGTATGACAGTGACACAAGCTACACAACTAGCAAAATAGAGGAAATTAAATTGAACTCCTTTCTGTGATGTTTTATGGCATAAGCATTAGAACAAAAAAAAAAACAAGAAAAATATTAGTTACATTTTGTGTTTATATACTTGTTTATTGAGCTGCGCTTAACTTTGCAGGATAGACTGAAAACACTTGAAACATATACTTTTGGGTTGATTGCTTCACTCTGGATAAACTAGTAAAGAATAATTAAATATAAGTTATCTAGAGCGATGTATCTCATTTGGTGGTCCGCTGACCCCAAAGGTTCTGAGGCGAAAAAATAGTGATATCTAGTGTTATGGCTATGGAAAATCTATAATAATAATCTTAACCTTTTCCTTCCAGAAAAAAAATTAGAAATGACCATTTTCAAAATATTGTTAAAAGTAAAATCTACCGTAAGAAACTAAAGGAAAATAAGAAGAAGCAGCCGAAATTTGGAGTCTCGGTCAGTTTTTATAATAAAATACAGAGTTGAAACCTACTAACACCGAGCATACAGGCAAGCCCATTGTGTCATAGCGGCACTGTTTATCTGATTTTCTACACACTAAGAACTCTATTTCATTCAGTGCCTTACAATAATATCTGTAATTGGATTGCCTCATAACATATTTATGTCCTATATTTATCATGTTTATTGATAAATCTCTTTATGTCTATAGATAAATATATATTTCAAACAATATTTTTCATTTTGGTGAATAAAGTGCTATAAAATGGGTTTCAACAAAATATTTTTCAGGATTTCCCATGGGGTCATAACTCATTTTTTTTAGCGTTTCCTGGGTCACAGAGTTAATATTGCTTTTATATTTTACTTATTGCCTGCCTCCATACCTGCTGTGTGCTAACTTGTTGTTTCTGTCTAAGGCTGATGGTTCTGTACTGACTGAAGGCTGTATGTCTTTTGCAGGTATCTTTGTGCTGATCTTTGCCCTGATCTCCACAACACAGATGGTCAAAGCTGCCGGCATTCTCCACTTTAATCTACTGAATAACATCCTGAAGGCACCTATGTCATTTTTCGACACAACCCCAATTGGCAGAATCGTCAACCGCTTCTCCCGTGACATTGAGACAGTGGACAACAACCTTCCATCCACAATCAGAACCCTTTACCAGTGTGTCTTCAGTGTCATTGGTACAGTTGTTACCATAGCATACAGTACTCCAATATTTCTGGCCGTTATTGTTCCCTTGGGAATTATGTACTGGTTAATACAGGTAATTCTGGTTTTCAGTTTTTTCTTAGTCTTGATATAAAAGCAAATTTAAGGCAAATGTTTCGGTGATAATCACACAACTGAAAGTGAATATTTTAGTGACAAGGAACAAAGTTAAGGCAAATGAGTCAGTGAAAAGGCACAGATATCACAATATGAGTATAGACAAGGAATAAGAAATACAATTTCAAGGATTTACAAGGAAGAAGGAGGAGGTTTTAGGGTTAGTCTTAAGATCCATCAATGAGTTGATGAATATTGGAAGTTTTTGCGGTAAGTTTTTTTGGTATACACTAGTGCAGATCATATGATGAATAGAAATGTGACTTCTTCTTCCTCTTTGTTCATTGACTGTAAGCTCTAGTAAAAAAGTCCTGGTTTTTTTTCCACTTGGTCTTTGGCTTTGTGCCAGGGCCTCAGTTTTGCCTGTACATCCATTTTACCAGCTTATGCAGTTGGTTGTTCCTTGCCACTTGGGTAGATGCACTGTGACTTGAAAGGAAAATCCTAGTTAGTCGACTCTTACAGCAAACTTTTTTGGAAAGGCGGCGGGTCTGTTATTTTCCCCACAGTGAGGCCTCGGAACCCAAACGGAGAAGAAATCTGACTACTGACCTAAAATTTGTAAAATGCAGTTTTTATTGTTTGCTGTTTTGCAGAGATACTATATCCCAACATCCCGCCAGCTGAGAAGAATAGAATCAACAACAAGATCACCCATCTATGTCCACTTCTCAGAGACAGTTAGTGGTGCTGCATCCATCAGAGCTTATGGAGTCTGTGACAGATTTGTTGAGGAATCCAAACATAGAGTGGACCACAACTTATCCTTCTATTTTGCTAGTCTTGTGGCAAACAGGTACAAATCAGTTTTTTTTAAAAATTACTTTTGTTATATCCGGTAATTATATACAAGTATTTAATACTATTTTTCAGAAACCATAGCCAGTGTTTGCTTAACCAGTGATTCTCAGAATAATGTTCAAAAGATAGCAGAAATATTCTATTGTTATATTATCCAATTTCATTCAGTATTTTATTTATTGCTGCATCCATGGCTTAGGTGTTGCGAGTCCGACTTGTAATTCCAACGTACTGCGATTGAAACCCACTGCTGGCGGTGTGGATTTTTTTGTAATATGGGGCATCGCAGGTCGACCTAGCTTAATATGGGTACTAGGATGGCTGTCCTGGGGAAGTAGAGATGGCTGGCGTAATGCTGACCACATTACCCACCTAGTACAGATGGTCTGAAAAAATATGGGCATTCTTCCCATATACCCGATGCGCCTAAGGCGTGACAAGGGATCTTAACTTTTACTATTTTACTTATTTTGCTTAATGTTTCGGTAGTATTTGTTTTGTCTGTTTTCAGGAGACTTAGTTATAAGTTATGTGTTGTATTATCTTCACAGCACATCCACAGGAGCTCAGATTCCTGTTTCAACATATAAATCAGTGTTCTGCCGTTAAAAGTGCCAGTTCTATGTTGGTTAACATGACTTCTTGTATGACAGTGGGCCCCTCATGCCTGGTTGTGCCAATCTTTACTCCTAATTCTCACATTCTCAACAGATGAAAGTGATGGTGCTAAAAAAATTCATTAATGTATTTACAGATGGCTAGGCTGGTACCTAGAGTTTATTGGCAACCTCATTATTCTTTCGGCTGCTGTGTTTGCTGTTGTATCTACAGATCTTGAAGCTGGTCTTGTGGGACTGTCGGTTTCTTATGCCACACAGGTAATCTGATTTGTCTACCTTGAAACATAACAAACTTAACAAGCATGTACACAACACAGGTGTCATCTGGGTAGTTCATCAACAGGTGCATGTAGGTTGTGTGTACAGACTGCAGAACTTTCCTGAAAGACTGTTCCTTGTACAGTCCAGTAGACTGTTCCTTGTACAGCCCAGTAGACTGTTCCTTGTACAGTCAAGTAGACTGTTCCTTGTACAGTCCAGTAAACTGTTCCTTGTACAGTCCAGTAAACTGTTCCTTGTACAGTCCAGTAGACTGTTCCTTGTACAGTCCAGTAGACTGTTCCTTGTACAGTCCAGTAGACTGTTCCTTGTACAGTCCAGTAGACTGTTCCTTGTACAGTCCAGTAGACTGTTCCTTGTACAGTCCAGTAGACTGTTCCTTGTACAGTCCAGTAGACTGTTCCTTGTACAGTCCAGTAGACTGTTCCTTGTACAGTCCAGTAAGAAGGGAATACTGGTCACATGAGAACTGCCGGAAACAAAAACTACCATTCTTGCCTGTAATTAACACTTGTGTGTGTGTGTGTGTGCGTGCGCGCTCATGTGCCTGCGTGTGTGCATATGTGTGTGTGTGTTTGTGTTAGGGGAGGGGTCTATGCACCTCAGGATTTAGACTACATGACTCGTGCTGTTACCACGGACTGTGCAGGTAAATTTTTTTTGTCCCCAACAGAAAAACCGGTAATCTTACCAAAGATTTGAATCCAAGTCTTCCACTCGAGGGATGAGCATTTTAACTGTTTGGCCAGCCACTCCTCAATATTACACTCAGAAACTAAAGAGGACTGGGGGGTGGGGGGTGGGGTGGGTCAGTTTTATCACAAGAACTCACCTATCTGTGTAAAGCAGAGAAGCATTCGCAGTAGAAAAAGTCAACCTTGCCAGGTCTCAGAGTTCCAAGTATTGGAGTGTTAAAGCTCTACATAAATGCAGCATTTGTATCTGCAGGTGAATCTTATACAGTAAAACAGACAGGCCCCAAAACATCTCACTGCAGCAGACATGAGGTTTCTGAGTGAAGTGCAAAGTATATCATGGACAGGTATTGGGGGGGGGGGGGGGGATGAAGCATTCATGGCAACACACACAGGCAGTGCTGAGATTCACCAACAGTGTTACATGCTAGTTAGTCTATGACTTCTGCGGTAATGCGTATGGACAAACAATTAACTGTGTGATCTGTGTAGAAGGGATTCATTTGTGCATCAATATTTGATTATGGCATTTCTATAAAATGCCCGTGACAAGATACAGTGAAATATGCCCGGTGAATAAATTGTACAATATATAGCTTGTTTCCTTATTATTTAAATATGATCTACTTCCAGGTCACAGGCTCTCTAAATTACCTGGTGAGAATGTTTAGTGAGCTGGAGACCAACATTGTCTCTGTAGAGAGGATTCAGGAGTACACGGAGACCCCGACTGAGGTTTGTTGGTCGTCTGAGTTATTATTAGTTCCCCTCAAGCTTGCTTAGCTATAAAATGTGTTACTTCTAAAAATTTTCTTAAAGTTTATAGGTATTTATTGTTATAAATAATGTTGGCTATCCTCCAAATAACGGGCACAAAAGATGGCGGCCAATAGCAGCCAAAAACAGGGCCTCAATCACGTGTCAATTGCGCACTTCGGGCGACTTAATTTGCGGCTTTTCAGCGACTACCACCACCACCGAGAGTATCTCTCACGCCGCTCACGCGGCATGCATTGGGGCTAAACTAGATGGTTAGGACTCACGAGCAAAGCTGCAGAAGATGCGGAAGCTGCTGCTCGTGATTGCCCGTTATTCGGAGGATAGCCATATTGTTTATTATTAGATTATCACACACAAAATTCTTGTAAATTGTAATTATATATTTTGTTTAAAAGTAAAGGTTTGGTTTATTATAAAGATAATTCATGCATAAAATTCATGCATTGTTCTAAAGAATATTGAAAGATTTTTTGTTGCAAAAGTAATTCATTTTGTTATAAATTTATTATATTGGATAGTTACTATGGCAAACATTGTTATGCTAATATTTTTTATTTTACTTCTTTCCATATCAAGCAGTTATCACTTTAACCCCTCCTATCCCAAGGAGTGACATAGGCGTCTGTGGCTTAGACATTGTGAAACCGCTTCGTAATGTCGGGGTGCCGTGTTCGATCCCTGCTGCTGTTGTCTAGAGCTGGTTTCGACAGTGGTATCGAGTGCTGACCGTTAAGAAAGCAATGTATGGCAAACTGCTGAACGCAAAATTTTACCTAGAAAAACAACAACAGCCAATGAATGCTGGGCTTGGTTCCGTAACGTCCTGAAAAGGATACAACTAACTTTTATTGGGAGTCGCCGTGGCGGAGCGGCTAGACACTCGCCACGGATCCGCTAGACGCTCACCACAGATCGGAAGGTCGTGGGTTTGCTCCCTGGTCAAAAATGACCTTGGCTCCCAGGTCGACCCAGCCTTGAGTGGGTACCGGGTGCAGTCCTGGGAAGTAGAGGCCGCCGGCATGATGCTGACCACATCACCCATCTTGTGCCGATTGGTCTATAAAAAATATAGGTCTAGCCCTATATGCCCTATACACCTAAAGGTGTGGAAAACGGTCCTTTACTTTAAGAAAAAACAACTTATTTTTATCCCAAGGAGTTAAGCTTATAAGCAACTAAATACTTTGGTTAAAGAGTGTTCAACAGACACAGTGAAATAGAAATGGATTAAACTAATAATTTAGATACAACACGCTAATAAAACATCTGTGATAGAAGGCAAGAACATTATATTATCTTTAGAATGACCAAGAAACAGGGTAAACCGCTTGCTAGCAAAAGAGTTAATGATTGTTTACATAATGTTATAAAGCTGGCTATAATGACTGTTTGTATGTTATCAAAATGATACACATGCTGTTTATATTGATGACCATGTTTATTTGTTTGTTGTAGTCTATAAAATGAAAGTGTTATAATCTTCAGGGTGTAAGGGTCAACCCAAACTGCCGGCCACAACCAGAGTGGCCTCATCAGGGGGAGATCATCTTCAAAGAATACATGACCAAATACCGACCAGGACTGGAGCTTGTGCTTAAAGGGGTCACGTGTCATATAACAGGTCAAGAAAAGGTCAGTGTGGAGATCATTATAATTATTTCTTATCCTGCATACCTTTTTGTAATTAACTCTTTCTTTACTTCTAATTCTCACATATGGTGACCATACGTCAGGACAAATCCATTTTTTGGGGGTCTTTTTTTTAATACGTGCAGCAAGGATATAATGCTAGGCCCGTATTTGTAGAGACCAGCTGGCACTTGCTGTGTGATGCAATCAGCTTTACTTCTCAGGACATTACCTGGTAACCATTTTAAGTTGCCTATACTGACTGTTCCCATGAGAAGCTGGTTATACTGTCTTCTGTTTCGGCCTCGAAAGCAGTAAAGGAATGCTTTACCAGGTTTTATTTCAATGTCATGCAATCATGTTAGTGTACGAGATCTGTCATTATCCACTAGCCTAGTCCTTACATTGTTGATGATGTTTGATCTGCCATGTTTCTTCCACATGTGTTGTTGGTGCATTGCTTGCTTTAGAAAAAAAGATATTATTTCGTTTCTTGTCTACAGGTAGGCATAGTGGGCAGGACAGGGGCAGGTAAATCATCTCTGACATTAGCTCTGTTTCGTCTGATTGAAGCAGCTGGAGGAAGCATCATCATTGATGGGCTGACCATTGCTGACATTGGCCTTCAGGACCTCAGGTCAAGGCTGACCATTCTGCCACAGGTAACTATTGATTGTGTATTTTATTGATCATCTTTTTTATAAAATTCAACATTTGTAAAATATTTGTAACCAGAATATGTTTTCTAACTCTGTCTCTTATGTGAATGTGAGTGTGTGCATGTTCATAGTGTCAGTCATCCCTTTGTGTGATGCAATTTGTTTGTTATTTGAAGCCCTACTCTGGCTCTTGCAAGGAGTCGCAATATAGACCAGCTATTAATATGGTCTAATGGCTGAACGCCGTTTCTGGGACCTCTCTATGGGTGATCCTCATCCACATGGTGGCACTTTGTGTCATCGGGTGTTTATCGCTTATGTGATGTCCTGGTGGGGTAAAAGAAGATAGATGCATGTTCATGCCTGTCTGATATCACCATCATGTGCTTTACCACATAGCATGGGTGCTAATGCTTCTGCCTATTTTACATTCTCTAATATTTCAGTTTATGTGCAGACTGCAAGCGAGTTAAACATTTTGAGATCATGCAGCTTTCCCTTGGCATTGTATCATGTAAGTCTTGGACTCGTATTCAGTTATGAAAGATAAAAATCAGAGCTTTCGAACTGAACTGCTACAGAAAGATTCTTAGAATACCTCAAACCAAGAAGAATTACACTGACATCCCTACTTGATCTGAACATTGAGGAGAATCGGCTCATAAACAGCATCTTTTCCTGAAATCTAAAGTGTTTTCACCATTTTAAATATCATGATAGTCTGGAGAAAACGGTTATGGAGATTAAGTAAAGTAAAGGACCTTTTTCCACGCTTTTAGGCGTATAGGGCATATAGGGCTAGACCTATATTTATTTAGACTAATCAGTACAAGAAGGGTGATGTGGTCAGCATCACACTGGCCGCCTTTACTTCTCTGCAACCGGTACCCACTCAAGGCTGGGTCGACCTGGGGGCCAAGGTTATTTTTGAGAAAAGTCCGGCTCAACCAGGGAGCAAACCCACAACCTTCCAATCCGTGGCGTGTGTCTAGCCGCTCCACCACAGTGACTCCCTTTTGGAGAGTAGTTTCCAGAAATGAGAAAGAGCTCTATGATAGTGGGTGCAAGACACTATGGATGCTACGAAAGCACATACGATATGAGAATTGGCTCGTTTAAGAGAGACTTTCAGGTGTGTTGTGATGAGAGCGACATTCTGTAAATAACTTGCTGATTGATGATGATGTTCAGACACATTTTCTTGCCATGATGAAACAACCACAATCAGGTGCCATCTCCACAGTAAAGGTTGACTACAGGAGATCTGCAACAGCTCTATCTTTTGCTGTAGTTGAACGTTGTCGGACTGCTGTTCTCCCCATATTAGTTCCAACCCCATTGTAGGGAAAACAAGAATAGACCCACTGCCAACTCAAAAGCATGTTGTACAAGTCGACTAAATGGGAGCTTCCTTCGAAGTCGGAGTGCATCTGCCTGAGAGGCAAGGAAACAGCAGTCTGCATAAAAATTCAGTCAGATCTGTAAAACGGATGCACATGCAACAATGAGGTTCTGGAACTAGACTGCAGTCCAGAAATGGACAAACATCCAGAACTTTCTGCGGGAGTTTACAGCTGATGAACGCAAAAAATAAGAAGAAGAAGAAAAGCATTATGTAATAGTCAACTAATTTGGAGCTTTTTTTGAAGGTGGAGTGCTTCTACCTGAGAGGCAAGGAACCAAAAGTCTGCATAAAAGATAAGACAGATCTGTAAAATGAATGTGCACGCAACAGTTAGGCTCTGGAACAGGACCAGTGTCCAGAAGTGGATGAAAAACAAACACAACTTTCCGCCAGAGTTTATAGCCAGTGAATGAAAAGAAGAAGAAGAAAGTACTATTCATCTAATTGTTGATGTTTTCCTCCAACTTGTATTGCTGTTTGCCTTTTGCAGACTTACTTTCAATTTTCCTTCTATATTTGTTTTGGATTTATGTCTTGTAATGTGGCTGAAATATTTAACTACCCTAATGAAGTATTGTTGAGAATATGTATGACTCTACACAAATATGTCTGCCTCTATGTGTGTGAGTGGTTTTCAGGGCTTTCTGGGGGTGTGCAATACCTTCTCTTTCAGTGTTACTGTAAAAGACATTTATTGATTAATACTGGTACATTTTTAGACACTTTGTGGTGAGTTAAAGTAAAGTAAGGACCCTTTTCCACACCTTCCCTATTGGGCATATAGGGCTAGATATATTTAGCTGAGCACCCACTCTATGGGTGATGTGGCCACCTTTACTTCCCAGGATTATACCTGGTACACACTCAAGGCTGGGTCGGCCTGAGAACCAAGTTCATTCTTACAAATAATTCAGGCCCCATCAGGATCCCAACCCACTACCTTCTAATCCGCATGCAAGAGTCTTGCAACTAAACTATGTAAGCTCCCTTTGTTTGGAGTACTGGTACCTTTTCTCTTCAAGAAAAGACCTGGTGGGTAGACACATAAGAGATGAAAGCCAGGATAGTATTGTTTTTTTTTTTTTATGAAATAAAGTGAACTGTTAACGTGATGTTTGGATTTTACAGGATCCAGTAATTTTCTCTGGCACACTGAGAATGAACTTGGATCCGTTTGGTGAACATACGGACGCAGCTTTGTGGTTAGCTCTAGAACATGCACATTTAAAGTCCTTTGTAGAGGGACTGCCTGCAAAACTTGGCTATGAATGTGGAGAAGGAGGCCAGAGCTTGAGGTATGTTTTTTTGCCCCCCCTCCCCCCCAATAATTAAGTAAGCTATTTTATTCACTAAATACAAACAATGCAAAGAATTAACTGGCTTTCTTTTCCTTTGTCCATAAGAAACATAGTTTTTATGACTTATCTGTAAGGACTAAAGTGATGTCATTATGAGATTGTTATGATGTAAATAGTGACAGAACAGTTAAAAAAATATTTTTTTATATCTAATAATATGTTAACATTTTCTATTAGGCATATATATATATGTATCATACCCACCATGACTAGACACTATGTTGTTACAGTTAGGGTCAAAGCTGTTTAAAAGGCTTAGTGGCCACTGCCAAAAACTTCAAAAAACCCATAAATGTCAGTAAAATGGCTTTCTTGATGTGATAGAGTTAAGGAGAGAATGAAACACATTTCAGCAAACCAAGAAGTAATGAAAAGATGATGCCACTGGACAGGACCCACACAAGAAAACCTGACAATGGTATAACCTGGATGTCCTTTCACTAGAATCCTCATAGTATCAGAATTATAGACAGATCTAAAAACTCAATGAGATGAAGATTACTGACAGATTAATATGGTCAATGAGTACAGAAAATAGCAAAAGATATAATGACTTGGCATGAAAATTGGTTTGAGGCTCTTTGCCTGACAATAGTGAAAAATGAGCAGAGAAAGAAGAGTCAGTAAATGTGTTTGGAAATTAAACCCTTTGCTTTACACTTATATTAGAAGCCCCGACCCATTGTCTTGTGCAAAACTCTTATCCTCTTGTGTACAATTTGTTCTGTTTTTTCCTTCAACAGTGTTGGTTCAGAGACAGCTGGTCTGTCTTGCACTGACTTTGGTGAGGAAGCCCCAAAATCCTGGTACTGGATGAGGCAAACTGGACAGCAAGTGATATGGAGACGGATGACCTCATTCAGAAAACAATACGTACAGAGTTCAAAGACTGTCACTGTTTAATCACTATGCCCATATGCTGAATACGATTATGGATTAATGATAAGTTTGAGTATATGTTGATCTAAACCAGAGGGGGGGGAGAGAGAGATGTTCACAACGTTTTTTGTTCGGGTCCCCCCGCCCCCCCGCCCCTCCCACTCCTGAATATTTTGGGCAAGAGCCCCATTCCCACATTTAAAACAACATGTGTGATTAAAAAGGGGAGAACGAAAAGCAAAATCTCTAAGCAATATTAACTAAAAACTTGGAGAACGTCATCCACAATAAATCAAAGTGTGAAATCACACAATAGAACACATGATCAACAACTGTAATTTTAGTTTCCAAATAGCAGTGTGATGATTGACAATGTTTTGTTTTGATGATGAACTAGGCTATGTGTTGGTCTGATGTTGTACTAAAGCAAAGGGAAATATCACTCTGCATCCAGATGGCAGGGTTGTTTTTGTTAACAACTACAATTGCAACTTAGCTTCATAAAATACTTCCTTGCATTCCCCCCCCTTTATGCCCGACCAGTTGAGTTGAGTTGAGTTGAAGGCTGCTTCAAAGAAATACACACAGCACTCAGTGTTTTCCCATAATTGGTCTGTTCCCCGTCTTGCAGAAGCCAGCACAGAGTTTCAGTACCAGTAGCAGTCCTGATTATATATTCGTCTTGTCTTTTCTCTGAGGCATCAAGTATTTGGCCAGATCCCCTCTTCGCTCCTCGCTGCATCTCTCTCACCCAAACTGCTATGATCAGTTTTTTTTGTTCCAGAATTTAACATGTGGCTCCCATAAGGCCTTAACCGAAGTCTGGCTTTATCATGTCATCACTGCCCCGTGTGGTTTTTGAAGCCACCATTTTGGGAAGTGCAATACTGAGTCACACTGCTTCCCAAACAGCATGTTCGTAAAGGTCAACTAACTGGTGGTTTTTTCCTTGTGAAGTTGAAGTGTCCTGAACTGACAGGTAAGTAACCAACAGTCTGCATACAAATAAGTCAGGTCTGTAAAATGGATGTTCACGACGGCAACCTCAGGCTCTGGACGAAGTCTAAAGTCCAACGGTAGAATGAAACACCAGAACTTTCCACCGTAGTTTTACAGCCAGTGAACACAAAGAATGAAGATGATAATGCTTCAGTATTTCACCAAGTTGTGCAGAGCCCAGCCAGTCTGGTCCTTGCCTGGTTCATTGGTCAACACAATTGGCATGACTCAGGAAGAACATCGCATACAATGCTTTTCACCTTTGACCTCCAAAGTGAAACATGCCACTCTGCACCAAGCATTCCTGCCCTCACCTTTCTCAGCTGCTTTCTGAGTCAGTTACAATCACAATGGGTTTGTATATCATGTTTTCTAAGCTGCAGTGACCGCCTCCACCCCACTTCTTAAGCTGGATATTGTGGTATCATATGCTAGGCTCTTTTGTACCCGTAACTTTGACCATGGCTAAGACTCCCACGCAGTTCTCCCCCACCCTCAATTGAAACTGCTTGTTCTAGCTTCATCTTAAGTGTGTAAGTTATATGTGAGTTACAACTGCCATCTTGATATCTATCATGTATTTTGTTGTTGTCATTATGCCTGCCTTGACTAGGTATTGACACATTTACAACGCTGACATTATTTGATTATCAACAGAATCATTGTCATGGACAAGGGTAGAGTCAGTGAGATTGGTTCACCCCAAGTTCTGCTGGTTGATCCGAAACTCCATCTTCTACCAGATGGCCAAGGATGCTGGACTAGTCTGCACTTTGGTTATGTATGCCTTGAATCATTGGTGTCATAAATAATGTGTGATCAATTGTAATGTGAAAGAATGATCTAGTGTTGTCTGTGTAAGAGAAAAGTGATATCACTAATCTGTTTATTATTGTATATAATGTTACGGGGAAATAATTAGCTTTAATATGTGTAAATAATGACTTTAATACATGTGTTTGTTTCTTGTATAATGTGGCGAGTTTGTAGTAAATAATGTGGATTCCAAGGTCAGTAAATATGACAAGGGTACAATGAAAAGTTGATGATGTCAAAACCTGTCAGGTTAGTTCAAATCATCCATCAAGAGCCTGATTTGGGCTATATGTCATGGTATTAGTCACCATATGTTAATTTATACATCAAGTATTTTAATGGCACTTTTACATATTTTATTTGTAATGTACAATTTGATAGAGGGAAACTAAATTATTAATTTGTTAGTGACATATAGAACAATAAAGAGATGAAGATAGAGCAACTGATTCTGTACTTGAAAATATCAGTTTTTTGTTCATTTGTTTGTTGATACAGAGCAGTAATAGGGGAGTATGTCAAAATAGAAGAGAGCCAAACATATCCAATTAATCAAAAGATGATGAAAAGAATTTTGGCAGTGGATGCAAACAAACTACAAAAAAAAAAAAATCGCTTGAACATCCTTCATGGAAAACAGCAGGGCCCAAAAAATTCAGGTAGACAAAAACGATGGAAGCTGAGAATCACAACCTTGGGAGACAAAATTTAATGGGTATTTACATGGACTAGAGCCTTGCATTTGATAGCAGAAGATAGATGCGAGCCATGCTTTTATTGAAGGATAAAGGGTAGGGAAGTAATACGAATAACTTATAACGGTGTGTAGCTGGCATGTGAGTAAGAGAGAGAGAAAGAGAGAGAGAGAGAGAGAGAGAGAGAGAGAGAGAGAGAGAGAGAGAGAGAGAGAATTATTTTATCTTACTGAATTAGACTGAGGAGTGACAAAAGAAGACGACGGAGAGAGAACGTCCATGACTTTAACAATGTCCTAACAAAATGCTTTTTGGTACTTAATTTTAATGGAATGGTTTGCTAAAACATTATCATCCATCATCATTATGTGGCAATTACTTTTGTCACAACGCTCACTCCTATCACAGTCCTTCAAGAGACTTTCTGCTCCTTGCTAATTAGTCACTAACCTCTGGTATTTCATAACCTCAATGTGACTGCTGTTTCCACTGTCTTACTGGTGAAGACCCTTGCCCTCTTCTCTCGGGAACCATGCCTGCCATTCTTCTTCTTCACTTTTTTTTTTCTTCGTCAAAACCGTTTCAGGTGTCAAGAGAGATTAAGCCTTTTATGTCTTGCTCGTCTGGCTGCATCGACCATTAGACATATCATGCTGTTGTAGAGTTTTCTTTCTTTGATTGTTATCTTTCCACTTTGTTTCTTGGTCTACCTTCATGCTTTACAATCCTTCTCCTGTTTAAATGTATGTCATGTAGAGTATGGTGCTGCAAGGCATTCTCTCTAAGTGGCGAACAATTTGATTTACTGTTCGCTTTGTATTGTATGTCGCTATAATAAATCAACTGCCGCTTGCCATGCCTGTTGCAAACTTCCACCGAGAGCCCGCCTTGGCCAGTATGTTTCCAGATGACCCAGGATGGCCTTCATGGCTACCCCAGCAGCCCTGTTGCACTAGGCCACACCATTCTTCACCCAATCCTAGCAGTCCCCTTTGTCTTATTCTTATTCTAATTTTTTCATCATATTCACCAGCTGTGAACTCTGGCAGAAAGCTTTGGTCGGTCGTACACTTCTAGACTTTAGTCTTGTTCCATAAGTTGGAGTTTTGCATATACATCTAGATTATTTGATTATTTGTACATTACACAGACTGTTGGTTTCTTGCCTTTCAGGCAGATGCACTTGATTTTGAAGGAAACACCCCTAATTAGTGGACTTTTATGACATGCTCATTAGAAGAGCATTGAGTCTATACCCCCCCCCCCCCCAGCCCTACCCCCCCCAGGCCTACCCCCCCCCCAGCCCTACCCCCCCCCCCCAGCCCTACCCCACTGCCCCAAATGGAGTCCCATAACACAAACAGGGAATAACTTCCATTACTGTTTTTTAGAAATTATTGCAACAATTTTTTTGGGCCAAAAAAGTGTATCATTTCCAAGATATGCTGTAGCTGCCGTTTGTTTAGTTTTAAAAAAAAAATCAATGTTATGATCCTGTAAATTGTCAGTCTTTTGTCCCTAGGCTAACATTCATTGTGGTTTTGTAAC